AGTGCGCACTGAGTGTATTTGCATCCTTTTAATCGACCTGTAGAAGAAAAAGACAAAAATATAAAAAGTTGCACCAGTTCCGCACATCTACCAAACGGAAACGCCATAATACTTTAAATATTACTTGAACTCACCGCAGTGTCGTTTAAGGTTTTGTTAGATTATACTTGACATATTTCTTCGCAATTTCATGCTCTTCTTTTGTCTAATTCGAGGCGTTGTAAAACACTTGACACTATATCACTTCTTTCATGTTGTAATGTTCGATTTGTTGTCTACATTTGTTCTACAACAATACAATCTGGCTACACTGCAGCTTACGAGTTGTGCGCGCATGTCATCTTTTAATGCTTTCTAACTTGTATTTATTATAATTGAGCTCTCTTTTTCTAATCATGCGAGATAGGTCTATTCTAATTGCAGGTCTGCGACCCAAGGTGAACTGTCGCCAAAACCAGCCTAGTGAAAATACCCAAAAATAAACCAGCAATAAAAACATCCAAACCCAACAGCGAATAAAAACTCGCATATAGAACAAGTGTGATACCGGTGCGACGCACTAGCCGTTCATAAATGATATAGGCACACCGAGTGCGCGCACTCTGCGTCGTTCAGAAAGTACTTCGGGCGCGCTCCAGGTGTCGCACCGGTCACACCCTAATTTTTTGGTGTGGCTGCGGTGTGATTGTGTCTTTATGTCAACAATGTCAACCATTCCTCCCATAAAATATCAATAATCCCACCAAATGTAAACAAAACACAAATAAGAATTAAAGTTTTTCCTTCAAATTAAAAAAATGAACAATAATAGTATATTATATACCTAGGTAGAGAAGTTGGTCCTTATATACCGAGCGCTTTTATAAACCGAGGCGCTCGCGCCGAGGTTTATAATGAGTGAGGTATATAATGACTTTCTCTACCGAGGAATATATAGAATTTTTTTTACTACTGCTAGTAGAAAATGAAAAATTTGTTTAAAATCTGTGCTCCAATTATTTTTTTTTGAACGCCCTCTTGAAAGTGCTGCCCTCTATCAACAGCTTATGATAACTTCCTATGTACCTACAGAAACCTGTATTTTTTTTCAAATTGACGTAATGGACATGAAATTGAACCAATAGAAACATGACAATATCCTTGCGTCATGACGTCATTTTCATTATTAACCTAGGTATTTTTTCATTATTTTCATTATTCACCTAGGGAGAGAAATTCAATTTTTTCCTAGAAAAATAGATTGAATAATGACAATTTCTCAGGTTAGTAGTAAAAAAAAAAAGTAATTCCAATAGATTTGGTGAAATTTTTGAGGAGATGCTCGATTGGTCACACCAAGCGTTCAGAAATTCATACGAAAGTTGTCGCCTAAGAATTGTCATTTCAGTCACACCCATAAAATCGCACTCACACCCGGTGTGTTATTTCTGAACTCGCCCCAGCTCGGGGGCTCAACGCCCCGAGTAGCTCCGGGCGTCACACTCCCATACTGGAAAGCGGCTCATGTGTTTTGCGAACGCGTCGAACTGTAGTCGGAGTAAGGGCGGGTATTATAAAACTGCTTTGACAGTTAACTTGAAGTTAATTTTTTGAATTACATGTATTTTCAGAAGTTAACTTTAAGTTAACTCTCAATGTAGTTTTATAATACCCACCCTAAGACAAACCCCAAGGATGATACACACTACTACTACAGGATGGCCTATCCTCATAAGGCCTGTGTGTAACAAATTCCCCTCTACCCCCCTACGCCAAACAACCAATTGTGACGTTAAGCAGCATGGCGTTTCTAGAAAACGCAGGGACGGAAACTGCCATATTGAGAGCGGGTATTATAAAACTACTTTGAGAGTTAACTTAAAGTTAACTTCTGGAATTACATGTAATTCAAAAAGTTAACTTCAAGTTAACTGTCAAAGCAGTTTTATAATACCCGCCATGAGCCTCGAAGTATGACTCATCATTTGTTTCGGTGGTTCGCTGTGTCCTCATTCAAGTGGATGTTTGATGGATTTTAGCGGCTTTAAGTGATAATAAGCACTGAAATTAGTACGAAAAGAGTGAGCCATAATATTGACAATCATATTTAAATAAATATACGCCACTGCCAAACCGGAAACACTAGTCGGCCATATGCAACCTCCACATATTCTGGTCGAGCAGATTCGAAGTTATGCTCGATTCCTGTAGTATTATATTCAAAGGTTCAAACAGCTGATGACTTAGTTATGATGTCGGCAATGGTTGAAAACAGTTGAAAACCAATATGGCGGCGATTACTAAAAACGAGGTTGATAAGGCCTCCTTAGAGTGTGTATTCTCCTTGGTTTAACGTTGGCACCCTCAATTCAATTTCATGCTGGCATGCACGCCGACTCCGAAGTGCAAGCTTGGCAAGCTGCTAGCTTTTTCGATGCGTGCCGACTTATGTCATGCGCAGTACGGTAAAAAATAATTTAGGTTATCCTTGCGTTCGGTATTTTGCTCAAAGAGCAGAGCGTGCAGACCGGAGCCGTAATAACGTGACCAGCGAGCGCACAGAGCAGTTTAACGCTGTAACAGAGGGCTCGAAATTTTATTAAACGAACGTGAATGAGCCTGCACCGAGTACACTTTTTAAATAAACGAACGGTCAATTCATGCTCAGAGAGCTGAGATCAAAATACCGAACGCACGGTACGTGACCGTACTATACACGCACAGCAGACTGAAAATTGACAGCATTGAGTGAGGATGGGTATCAATTTCCCAGCAGGCGTGCCAAAGTGCCACTTCGCTACCAGTGATTGAGGATGTAAATAGCTTAACAAGAGTGAAATTTAAGTGACATAGGTATATGAAATTACATTTTGTTTATTATTAGGCTTTATTTGCGCTTTATTATAGCTTTTTTCCATCCCAGCAGGAAACCGTAATATTACCGTTAGGATTCTGCGCAAAACCTAAAATGTTTGCGCAGAAACCGAAATTCGTATACAGAGTGGTTCCGAAACCGTTCTGAGACGTTTTTTTGACAGGTTGGAACATGGCCGTGTTCGATTCGCAACCGTTCGGCATGAGCCGCTTTCCAGAGGTGCTTTCCAGAGGTGCTTTCCAGTGACCCATTTGAGTTACTCCTGAGCAGCTCAGGAGTGCTCCACAATTGCTTTGCGCGTTCCAGTGCTTAGAGTGTCGTACACTTGAGCTACTCATTTCTGTTGTCCCCTGCCCCCTCGTGCACCAACCCTTTTGCCTATGTTTCATGCTCCTGAAATCCGAAATGGTGGGGGTTAAGACGAGAGCGTTCCAGTGCTGCTTATGTCGAACAGTTCAAGAGCGTCACACTTCAGGAGCATGATACTCTAAAAATTTAGGCACTGGAAAGCGGCTCAGAGCGTAGAGCAATGAATTTTTTTTTTGGATCGTGCTCGATAAATATATCGAGTACCGATAGTCAACTTTTAATATCGATATACCGATATATCGAAACAAAAAATATCGGTCGATATTATCGATATATCGGAAGAAAAATATCATCCATTTGATATATCGATATTTTTTCAACATCCCTAGTCTCGCATTCATGTGTATTGTTGCAGTTCAGTATTTTTGTGGGCATTATTGACGAAAAAGTGGATAGAAACAAACCGATATACTGCCCATATTTAGTTCATACCTGTTCCTTCGTGCTTTAATACTGATTCAACATCTCGCCGAAAATTCTATCACAGGACTTTAGCACTCTGAAGATCCGATCCGACTGCGCCAAAAATATTTTTCGTTAAGTAAATCTTGTTTTTAAAAAGTATTTATTTTATTAAAAACTAAGAAGTCACAACAAAAAATATTAGAAAAAATATTAGACTCTATTGCTGCGGCAAAAGCCCGAAAACAAAAAAAATCTTGATGCTAATTGCTATGGCAAAAGCTAAAAACAAAAGATCGGTGAGAGCGCTCTGCGAGGCTTATTTATTTATAACGGGTCTTCAAACAAATTAATGTGCGAAATTAAAACTGGAAAATCCACAGGTTGCTGATAGAATGGTAATCGATGAAAGATTTTAAAATGAAATTGAAAAATATCGAAACTGAAATAGTTATTTATTATACAAGACGGTAAAAAGATGCTTTACCTGTGAGTGGAAAATGTTGATTCACGAGCGACGAAGGAGCGAGTGGATTAATTCCAGGAACAGGTAAAGCTTTTTTACCGTTGTGTGTAATATTCTATTTTATTCTTGAGCCACTTTTTATTTATCACAATTACTAAAATGATAAACTAAAATGTGCTAAATTATGACAAATTGACAAAGTACCTAACAAACTGACACATTTCTGGTGTTGTCAATCATGCAACATATCAGATTTCTGTCAAAAACACTATAAATATTATAAAAGAAGAGAACGAGTGGGTAAAATTGAAGTATGAGTGGGTAAAATTGACAAATGGGTTGGTAAAAATTGTTCGATTTCACTACTTCAAATAAAGTCTTACTTTAACAACGAGTTTTGAGTCGATTAAATGATAGTTTACCATTCGCGATAGAATAAAGGATATTTTTTCACGTTACCTTGCTCTACTTCCAAACTCCACTCAGCTGGCCAGCTCATTCAGGAAGTTCAGGTCCCATGCGTAGGAGTGCAACGAAACCGTCTTGATTTAACCGGTTGTGGCGAACGAAAAACCGCGGGTATATTTTCTCGAACAACACGAAGATGGCGAAGTGTTTTTGGCAACTGGTACTACTTGTCGGTAGGAAGTGTAAGAACTTTGCCGGTACCTTTTTTCAGTGTTTAACGCGCGCATTTTCAAAAGCCAAATATAGCAAAGCCGTATCATTCTTAAGCATAGAGCCCGCGCAATTCAATTAGAATAAGAGAAAACAAAAAATAAAGAAAAACGAATCAAGTTCCATTCCCAAATAGGATTTAACATCCTAAATACCCAATTTAACCTACAACTATATACAGGGCGCGTAGACGAAACTGGACAAAAACCAATCAAAGAAAACCATGGTTTTTTAAACGTAAATAAAAAATATTCCAAATTTATTTAAATTCAACTCATTCATCAACAATTTCAAAATGTTATAATTGGCTTTCGGCCATATTTTTCATAAACATCATTCCACATAGAATAGATGCTGCCCCTAATTTGCTTCCTCATTTGCAAAGTTTCATTAAGAACCAAATGCGGATAATCTTGATTATTAAATGTAGTCCATGTAACATTGTTTAGAAGTTCGGATTTTTCTGGAGTTGGATTTCTGAAAGCGAAAGAAATTGGCTTGAATTTATTACTGGAAACTCGTCGTCTACTTACAGATATTTGGCAAAGTCGGTCCAAAGTTTAACGGCTCTCTTTTGTGTTAAAACGTCCAATGGATCTGTTGTTATGTTATATCCGTCTTGGGTAAACAGGTATGGGAGCTCAGATGCGTGAGCTACTTTTTCAGCACCTAAATCAATAATTGAAATTATAGCCTAGAGGCATTTTTGATTTTTGGACACTTATATCGAATTAAATAGTTGGACTGAACGTTGATTTCATTAAACTGGCTATAGGTAATAGGGAATATCTAGGAACATTGATTTGGAAGAAGTATGTCGTAGATTGACTGTGATAGAAAATCTTTCACATCTGCGAGTTAAAAAATTATTCATCAAATATAAAAGCTGGGTTTTCAGACAAAACAGGTGTAAACGCTGTTTGCAGATACTTTGTGAGATCAATTTGATCATGTGGCAGTTAGCCTGGGAGTCTATCATGTCCACATTATCTGATTTTCATAATATCACATGAGTTTTGAAAATGGTATTTACAATGGTGAGCTGTTCCGTGAAATATAAGACAGCCTGTGTTTGTGCCTGTGTACAAGGTACAATAAACAGAGTAGGTATCCATTACCTGGAACGTAGGCATCAGTCAGATTTCGTCCACCAAAATAGGCAAATTCGTACAAATACACCGGAACATATTCTGATGCCAAATCTCCTTGTTTCACCACCCCTCTTACAAATTGATTATCTGAAAAATACTATAAAAACAATTAAAATGAATATTCCACAGAATCAAATAAATATTACGTCAATGAAAGCAACCAAATGATCAGCAAATCGTCTATTTCTGCCACCCAAATAGGCATTCCTGATAGTTTCACCAGCTATTGCTTCATTAGTTGAATTTGGATACAAATCAAAAGGTAAAACTCTTTCTGGTTCATGATCGTACATAATGGCTATTTCTTTGACGTGATTTAAACCTGAAGGAGGATATAGATTGAATAGAAAAAATTAAGCAGACAAATAATTTAATTTTATACCCCTAAAGTACAAAAGGGATTCCTCAGAAGTTACCCCTATCATAAATGGAACCTTATTGAACTCTCCCCTCTTCAATAATTCATAGGGTGACTCTGTCATGAATGCATCTTCGCTTTCGGGCTCTAAAGTTGGCCAAACTTGAATCTACAAACGATAATTTTCTACTTCAGTTTCATTAACTTTCACCCTTGATTTTATGCATTTTAAAATTTCTGTATTTGGAAATTACAATATAACAATATCATCTCAAAATAGAATAGTGAAACATCATATCGATTACTTACACCTTCAGGTAATGATTCATTCACGGTGCTTTCCAGCAAATTTTGCGAAGCAGTCATAATTTCAATCACGCTCCTCTGCTTCAAAAACGCCTTAAGTTTCCCAGTGTCATTGCCATAGTTTCCTCCAGGAATCCATTCAGCAAGCCTAAAAGCCACTGTTCTGGCATTTTGATCTACTGCCCAATGACAGGTCCCAGAACCACTTTGGACGATAGCAGCACGAAACAAACCTTAATTACATCATGTGGGAATAATGATTTGCTCAAGGAAAAATAATAATTTTACCTCTAGATCTTTTACTAATCAAATGCAACCCAGTAGATGTTCCTCCAGCACTTTGTCCGAACAGCGTCACTTTTTTTTTATCGCCACCAAAAAATTCTATATTCCTTTGCACCCAATGCAAAGCTAAAACTTGGTCTTTTAGGCCTAAATTTCCTGGAAGATTGTGATCGGAAGTTGCTAGAAAACTTAGTGGGCCCAGACGGTAATTTAAAGAGACGATTATGACGTTTTGTTCCACTAGGTAGTCGGGACCGAAAAAGGATTTGGCTGATTTTCCACTGCGAAAAGCTCCACCGTGGATCCAGACCATTACTGGAAGAGGATGGTCAGGCTAAAAAAAAAATAAGTGGTTCATAAAATATAAATCATAGGTACTTTCGCAGACCATTTAATTGAATTTTGATTTCAATGAGAACTTTGTCTTATATATCTTCCGCTTGCTCCTTGAAACCAAATAATTTTTTTTATTGAAAATCATCAAACTTACTTTCAAACTTGGTGTGTAAACATTAATTTTCAAGCAATCCTCGCTTTCACCACTAGGGTCGATCAAAGAATCACTCGTTATACAAGATTTGGCATCTCTTGTAGCATTAAGGATGCCTTTCCACGGTTTTGCAGGACGGGAAGACTAAAAAAATTGTATTAAATTTGAAAGCTAAACTTGCAATAAACTTGCTTCATATCTCAGATCTCCCACAGGTGGTTCTGCATAAGGAATAGCTAGAAATCCAACATAGCTGAAGTTGTTTATGGGAGTCGAATATTCTGCTCCTCTTACTTTACCGTCTGGTAAATTGACGACGAGTCTATCATCTTTTTGGGAAAAGCACTAAAAGGGATTGAAAATATATATAAATATATATATTTTGGAGTAAATTCTTACCCCCAAGTTGAGCAATGACAAAACAACAAAAAGTGATATTGAGGTTGCCATTCTAGGATCAAAACTACTGCGGAAAAAGGAAAGCAATCCTTAATACTACATTCAACTATCAGCTTATCGACTCTTTAGGCCTGTATAAGTATTTATAACCTTTGTGATAAAAAAAAATAGATCTTAAGTTTCTTATCAACACATCGATCACTTTAAATGTTTGACTGCATTATTATACGCATTGATCTTTGATCCTTCGTAATAACATGAAAACTAGATGAATCAAAAATGGAATTTTATGCAGCAAAAATGTAGGAAATTACATAAATAATTAGTGGATAGATGTTTCAATAACTATAAGTACGACAATTAAAAAATATGTAAGGTTTAATAAGGTAAAGCAACAAGAGGCTCATTACCCTAATCATTAAATACATAATGTTATAGTTGATAAATTATTTTCGACTTGAATGTGCGTTATCTTTCAAGGTAAATAAAAGTGCAAATCGTTTTGTTAAAAAATCCGAGGAGAAAATAGAAGCTGTCAAAAATGCTAGAAGACCTACCAATATAACTGAACTCAAAAGTTGGTTAGGAATCAGGAATGGTTGAATATTATGGAGAATTGCAAGAAACTACATCCACTTCATTATTCACTTGGGAAGGAAGTACCTACCATTCCAATGGACAGAAGAATGTGAAAAAGTTCATAATTGGAATAAATTAGGAATAGTTTTGGGGAAAACCATCTATTTGAAATATTATTTCTTTGAATCTCAACTTTTTAAAAAACATCTACTATAGAAAAAAATGGCAAATGTTGCAACCATGTCTGCGCTGTGAAGTTTAGGGTTGAAAGAAGACGCGCCACAAGAAACGGTACCGAAAGGGGAGATAGAGAATGAGAGACTAGACCAGGGACTTTATTCTCGAAACAAGGGAGCAGCGTTCTCATGAGAATGAAGGTTTAGTCTTTATCATCCGTATCCATATTTCCATAACACTGACAATGAGAGAGCAATCGTTCTCATGAGAACGCTGTTCCTCGGCTTCAAGAATAAAGTCCCTGAGGGAAAAAGTTTGAGCTTGTCCTCCATTGTTCATTATTCAATTTTTATTTTGATATTTCTAGAAAAAAGTTTACATGAGACCTATGAAGAGGCTTTCGCGTTTTCCCCTAAGTATAACTATTAAAGATAAACATATCAAACCAATCGTTGAATTCAAGTTGAAGGGGACTAACAAATAAGTGCACAATTATACATGGTGTTCCATTTAAAAAATATAACTTCGCTCTGCTACACTCTTTTGACGCACCCTGTATGCTTAAAACTAACGTAGTTGAAAACCATAGTTGAAAACTTTTGACAATTTCTTAACACTTTTGTCAAAAACGTCAAATGAAAAAGTTAGGACGGCGTGACATTTATAATAGATCATCCTGTACCTACCCACTAAATTCACTACATACAATACCAAAATCACTAGGGGGCTCTGCCCCCATCGCAAATTCACTACGGGGGCTCAAGCCCCCATTGGCCTATGGCTCCTCACTGATCTAATAAATAAATCTTTTCAACAAGGAGTGTTCACAGATTGCCTCAAGACGGCTATAATTATTCCTCTACACAAGGGAGGTGATAAGGACCAAGCGTCGAACTATCGTCCAATTGCACTTCTTCCCACTTTATCCAAAATTATTGGAAAATTGGTTAAGAAAAGGCTTCGATAATATGGAAACCATAGACCTTACATCACTTGAAAACGAATGCAGATATTGAATTGCGGTTTGGCCTAAAATGAAGATATTATTTTGCTCTTCAAGCACAGCAATAAAAAAAATAATATCATGCCATTTGGATTTTTCAAGAAAAGTAGAAAAAACAGGATCTTGGTTAAACAGCGCTTTTTAGAAGACGCAGTGGGAACTATCGACCCTGAACGAAGTGGTGTTCTTAATAAATATGAAATTCTCTTTCATGTAAGCCCAAATTGAATGAGTTTGGATAAGGGATATGGAAGATACAGCAATTTTTAAAACTATTTTTACACCAGCTTCGCCCATCCTTATTAGTGAAGATACGAAATAATTTGCACTAGTGCAAATTATCGCGTAATTACAATCTGATGTCAATTTATTGTTGGAATACCAGTTTCACAGAAGTATGAAATTCTCATATTTAATCTTTAGAAATAAATGAGGCAATTTAAAACGAGTCATGGTTAGAAAATACAAATTTTCTCAGTAAATCGTTATATTAAGATATAGTTTTAACAACAGAAATCAAAAGTTCATTCATTTTTGCGCCAGTTTCATTTTTAGGTTTTTTTCGTATCTTTACTAATAAGGGTTCGCCCACCCTTATTAGCTGGTGAAAAAATAGTTTTAAAAATTGCTGTATCTTCCACATCCCTTATCCAAACTTATTCAATTTGGGCTTACATGAAAGAGAATTTCATATTTATTAAGAACACCACTTCGTTCAGGGTCGATAGTTCCCACTGCGTCTTCTAGAAAGCGCTGTTTAACCAAGATCCTATAGATACTGTAGATACTAACTTAGAAAGAGGAATATCTCTATTCCCAGTGAAGGAAACAAAAATCCTCCCGCAGAAATTTTCCTTCCGCCTCCCGCCTTCAGTAAAAATTAGGTGTCAATCTGACTATAATTTTTTTCCGATTTATTGGCTGAGTTCAGAAAATAGCTCTGAGAGCATATCGGTATAAATTTTGACAGTTGTCACGTGTTTAATTCATGTAATATCAATTTGAAGTCACGTGTAAAAAAATCTATCGCATCTGCGATGTCATCTCCGAACTTGCCTTCCAAGTCTTCTTAAAGCGAATGCAATAGGTTTTTCGAATCCATCTGTGGGCCGATTCTTGGGCCAGGGAGTAGAGCTCCCCGAAAGATCAAATATTCCGTCTTTATTATTCTCATTTACTTTTCGATTACGTTGACAAAAACAAAACATTCGTTCTTTCGAGGAGCTCTACTCCCTTAGACGAGAATCCAGCCCCTGGAAAATTATGAGACAGCATTGCTCCTAGAGCATATTATTATGAACTAGCATCTATAGCTAACGAAAGTGGAAGATCTGGATTGTAAGTGCCTAAAACTTGAGGAGAAACTGTAGTATAACATACCCGGGTTCGTTCAGCAAGATTAAACGGTGTGAATTTCTATTATACCTTCTCTTAACAAATCTTCTGAAAAACGAAATGAAAAACAAATAGGACCTACGTTATGGAACTTATTGTTTGCCCAACGGTTCTGAGTCTACGGAAGGAATTCGGACGTAAATGTGCGATGTTGCCACGTTTAATTATAAAAAAGCGAAAATACTAGGCATGAAGTATAATTAATTGAAAATCCATTTTTTAATAACAAAATGTAGATAACAATATAACGATATTTTAACGTGGTGGTTAGATCTATGCTTATTTCAATAACTGATTTCTTCAATTTCGTCTATTGTAAAAAATAAACATTTCCTAAAGAATCCATCAGCTTTTGACAATTTGGCAAGGATGAACCTGATTGGTAGAGTTTTTGGCAGGATTGCTGTTGCCACGGGGAACCATGCAATTGTCAATGTGCTAACGTCACGTTACGTCCCGCTATTGGCCAGGGCTCTTGTCATTTTATCCTCCCATCTTGGAATATCGATTTATATTGAAATACCCAGTGGCGGCGGTTTGGTCGTTGTCGATTTTCGTGTACGAGTTGCAATACGATAACACTTCCAAAAAGTTCCGCACGCAGCTGGGTATTTTATGAATGAAATCAGCCATTTTTTTTACAACTGCATTCCCCTTACCGTTGCCCCGTAGAAATAGAGTCGCTAGGCAGACATTACTATTACTCAATTTTACTTACTGGACATGCGCCCAACAATAGCAAAATTAGGGAAATTTAAGCGAAGTTTTGATATGTAAAATAAACGAAAAATTTGTGAAACGTCTACTTTATTATTAAAGTAAATCGACCTGAAACTAACCAGAGGAAAAAGCACGGCAGAGAAACCCTCGATCTAACATTACTCAAGAATCATACATACTGTGTCATTTTAATAATTAATTGTGAGTCAATAATTTAAGTCAATAAAAGTTTAAATTGGGTACCACCCCTGTCCTTGTGCTAAAATTTTAATTCCACACACTACTTCAATCAATATTACCTATATTCAATACTGAAGAGTTTTTGTTAGTTAGCCAGTTTCACCAGCAGGTAATGAGGTCCCGTACGGAATGCTACTGAGCTATAGTTGTTATTTTGAGCCAATATCTCTTTGCTTTGTTTGCTAGGATATTCGCTCGTCAGCGTAGAAAAATGTTAATAGATACAACAAGGCCCTGATGCACGTTCGGAATAACGAAATTAAAATCCCAGCACATAGTTTCTTTGGTTTTAATTTACTTTTTATCTGCTTTGTTCACAACATGGAACGATTATTGTTAAATACATGAACAATGCACATGCTATAAAAAATGTTATAAACAAACAAAAAAAACATTAAAATGAAAAAATTAATACTTGTATAAATTGAATTCTCAAAAACAAAATAACATTTATTCAACTGACCTGTGATCGCTCCTTATGACACACAAACTAATCACAAATTAAATTGAACAATCAGTTTAATACAAAATAAAAATTGAATAATGAACAATGGAGGATCAGATCAAGCTTGTTCCCTCTGGGACTTTATTCTCGAAACCGAGGAATAGCGTTCTCATGAGAACGATTGCTCTGTCATTGTCAGTGTTATGGAAATATGAATACGGACAACAAAGACAGAACCTTCGTTCTCATGAGAACGCTGCTCCCTTGTTTCGAGAATAAAGTCCCTGGTCTAGTCTCTCATTCTCTTCTATCTTCCTTTTCGGTACCGTTCCTTGTGGCGCGCCTACGTTCAACTCTAAACTTCACAGCGCAAACATGGTTGCAACATTTACCATTTTTTTCTATAGTAGATGTTTTTTAAAAAGTTGAGATTCAAAGAAATAATATTTCAAATAGATGGTTTTCCCCAAAACTATTCCTAATTTATTCCAATCAGGGACGTAGCAAGTCGAAACCGGGCCCTGGTGCAACATGGGAGTACAGCGGGCCCCCTTC